AGGAAGGAATTTGCTCTATAGGATGTAAAAATGCAATCACTAAGACTACTAACAAAACAATACCATCAACAGATACTGCTAAATAAAAACTATTAATAAATAACTGTAATACCAGAGGCTTTTACTGTGTTTTTAATCTGTTTCAATTTTTCTTTTTAATCAGCAATGATAAGGAAACTAAACTGAATTAAGTGCTATCATCTGGGAGGTGCAAATGCAAACAAGGGGAAAGAAGTGATTGAAGAGCACTTCAGAAAGCTTGGTACATGCAAATCAGCAGGGCTTGATTACTGGCATCCCAGGACACTTAAGGAATTGGCAAATATAATTGCAAGACCACCAGCCTTTATGTTAGAAAATGAAGGTTGGACAGGAGATGGTCCTGACAAGTAGAATCAGCAGATGGAGTACCTGTTTTTTGAAACAGGGAAAAAGACAGCTGTAGTAATTATAGACTATTCAGCTTATCTTGGATACCTGGGAAGATACAAGAGCAAATCATCAAACAATCAATTTGCAACCACCTAGAAGAGTACAAGGTACTGGGTTGTAATCAACATGATTTCGTGAAGTGCAAATTATGCCACACCAATTTAATTTTATCTGTGATAGAGTGATGAGCCCGGCAGAAGAGGGGAAGGCTATATCTACAACTGGACTTCAATAAGGTTTTTTATTTTTATTTTTTATTTAAAACATTCCATCTCTGGGTATTTTCAGCATCAATCTTCTGAGAGGACTGGGTAGAACACTCAAAGTGGTAAAAACAAGGATTCTACTCCAGGCTGACATAGTTAGTAGTAGTTGTTATTTTTATTTTAATCAATTGATGCAGACAAAGGTGATAGTAGTGAAGATGTTGAGGTGAGAACATGGCATTCTCCATCATCTGTCATATTTATGAGAAATATGACAGAAAATAGGAGATCTTCTGTTCAGAAAATAGGAGGACCCATTTAAGAGGTCCAACAGCTAAGTAACATGAGATCCAGAAGTCAAGAACAGACAAAATAGTATAAGGGACATTACTAGAGAAATTATATAAGAAAATTTCCCAGAAAATGACATATTTTTACATGAAAATAACCCTCTAAGTGCCAACTGTGATAAACTGGAACAATAACCCACTTGGACATAATTTTGTAAAATTTTAGAACTCTAAGAATAAACAAAAGTTTTTGAAAGCTTCCAGAAGGAAAAATTAGGCCACCTGTAGAGGAATGTAAATTGAGCAGCCAAATTCTCGTTAACATCTCTGGCTGCTGGAAGATGACAGAGTAGTCCTTTGAGTTCTGGGGAAATTAACGTTGAAACTAATTTACATATCCAGCCTACCTATCCATCAACGGTGAGGGTAGAAAGTAGGTGTTTCATAGAAACCAGGACTTGTAAAATTTACTTGCAAGGATTCCTTTTTTAAGTTATTTGAGCATGTATTCCAGCAGGATGAAGAACTTATCCAAGAAAAAGTAAGGTATAAGGAATCTTTCTAACACAAGAAAGGAAAGTAGTGTGTGATTTAAAAAAAAAAAAAAAAAAAAAAAAACCATCCATTTTGAAGTAGGAGGAAAAAGAGTTCCAAAGAGAAGGACTCTGGGACAAAATAATTTCATGCAGTCCATAGTGTTACTAGGTGAACAACAACAACAACCAAAGTTTCAGTTAAGATAAACTATACGTTTAGTCAATAAAGAAAAAGGCAATTAATAATTCCAGGAAAAAAAAAAACAAAAAGCTAATTGAGTATGTTATGGTCGAGTTTAAAAGAATAATGTATAATTTTCATGAATTAGGGAGTAGAAGAAAAAGATTAGTACATGGTGCTAAGACATTTTTCATTGAATATATGAAGGGTATGATGAACATATGAAGGATATGATACTGCCCTCATAGATAGGAAAATTGCACTACTATTATGCTACCTAGTTTAGCAGTGCACAATATTGATGTAGTCTTAATAATGTAACTACTTTTTGTTGTTTCACTACAGTCACCATCCTGTATATTAGAGCTGCAGAATCTATGCATCTTCTGAGTGAAAGTTCATCCTTTACAGTCAACTTAAGGACAAAGTGAGGAAGATCTTGGTTATGTCGCAAAAAAAAAGGCAAGCATTAATTTTCATGATATAAAAGTGAAGCTGACAAAAGGTGGGAAATAGAAAGTTAGGGAAATATGAAGAGAAGGATAGTATTATAGATACCTGCAACTTCTATGATCCAAAGTCAAGGATACTGACTCAAGTTTTTGGAATGAAAAATTGAGGTGTAACCTATTTAAAGTGAACGAGTAACCACAACAAAACTTGAAAATAATGTTGTAACTACCAAACATCGAAGGATTGGGAGGAAGAAGATAACATACATGAGCTAAATGCTTATCTTTTATACCTGGAGGCCATTAGATAGCCAAGAAATTGGAAAGAGGAGTGGTTTTTCCAAACACTTTCTATACAAAGCATGCATAATTCATGAGTAGTTTTTTTATAGGCAAATCTGTATAGTCATGGGGGTATAATCTCAGAGCACAGGTGCAGACAATCTCTGTAGCATAAGGACATATTGTGTTACAGATGATCTTGCAGCCATAGCATTTTTTTCCATTTCATTATCCATGCCCAGTTAGAAAATTGTATTTGCAAACTTAAAGTTGTATTTGCTTTAATACGCTCTTAAATTTTCCCAGAATTATCTTTAATATTTCACAGAGTACTGTCTCCAAAATTTAATAGCTTGGTACATGGCCATATGGCCTTTATATAGTGTTTTATTGTCTCTGACTTCTGTTCCAAAAGAATATATTTTCAGGATTCGGTTATTGTTCTCACTGAATTAAATGTTCACGGGTACTTGCTTCTAGATGACCTTGTTCTAGAATAAAAACTATCTAAACATTATAACTCTAAAAATTAAGATAATAGGCCAGGGTTGTGGCTCACACCTGTAATCTCAGTACTTTGAGAGGCTGAGGTAGGCAGACCATGTGAGCCCAGGAGTTTGAAACCATCCTGGGCAACAAAGTAAGACTTTATCTCTACAAAATGTTCTTATATATTTTTAAATTTTATTTTATTTTTTTATAATTGAGATGAGCTATGATCATACAGGGTGACATTAATTAATTTAAAATTAATTAATTTAAAATTACAATTCAAATTAAAGTAACAACATCAGCCAGGTGCAGTGGCTCACGCCTGTAATCCCAGCACTTTGGGAGGCCAAGGCAGGCAGATTACTTGTGGCCAACATAGTGAAATCCCATCTCCACTGAAAATACAAAAATTAGCTGAGCATGATGGTGGGCATCTATAATCCCAGCTACACAGGAAGCTGAAGCATGAGAATCACTTAAACTCAGGAGGTGGAGGTTGCAGTGAACTGAGATTGTGTCATTACACTCCTGCCTTGGCAACAGAGTGAGTGAGACTCCATCTAAAATATAAACTAAAATAAATAATGATAATAATAAATTAACAACATAAAAGCCAATTGAATCACTTCTAGATTTAAACTTACAAAACTTTTAAATAACAGCATGGTCTACAAGCCACTATTAAATGAGGAGAGGTGTAAATAAAACCTCACTGTAACTCAATAAGTAGGGTCTACCATAGTCAATTTGATAACATGTGGCGCCAATTTAGTACAGAGTTGATGAAATGACGAAGATGATCCTGCTGCCAAAGGACAGGAGCCAGTCACCAAAGTCATCATATCCAAATTCATGTTATCAAAGAGCATGTAATTCCAATTTCCATTGTATTTCTGATTACCTGCTAAAGTGACATACCTCATAGCCACAGAGATTAATACCTTGCCATTCTTACCGCTTTTTAGCTTTGAAATTGTGCAGCGTTGAAAAAAATTACTATTTTTTTTTTTTTTTTTTTTTGAGACAGAGTCTCACTCTTGTCACCCAAGCTGGAGTGCAGTGGTGTGATCTTGGCTCACTGCAACTTCTAACTCCCAGGTTCAAGTAATTCTCCTGCCTCAGCCTCCCAAGTAGCTGGAATTACAGGTGCCCACTCCCATGACCGGCTAGTTTTTGTATTTTTAGTAGAGACAGGGTTTCACCATGTTGGCCAGGCTGGTCTCGAACTCCTGACCTCGTAATCCACCTGCCTCTGCCTCCCAAAGTGCTGGGATTACGTGAGCCACTGGGCCCGGCCAAAAAATTTTTTCAGAGGTGGGATCTCATCATGTTGTCCATACTGGTCTTAAATGCCTGGGCTCAAGTGATCCTCCTACCTCAGCCTCCTGAAGCATTAGGATTATAGGTGTAAGTCACTGTGCCTGGCCACAGCTGGGACTTTCTTAATAGTCCATTTATACTACTTCAGATATTTATTATTGTTTGTTTGTTTTTGAGACAGGCAACAGAGCAAGGCAAACAAACAAATAAATAATATTATTCTTCGTTTGCCTTGCTCTGTAGCCTGAGTGCAAGTGGTATGATCAGGGCTCACTGCAGCCTTTACCTCCCAGGCTCATGTGATCCTCCCACTTCAGTCTTTCAAGTAGCTGGGACCACGAGCACATACTACCATGCCTAGCTGATTTTTTTTTTTTTTTTTTTTTTTTGGTAGAGATAGTGTCCCTCTATGTTGCCCAGGCTGGTCTCCAACTCCTGCACTCAAGCAATCCTCCTGCCTCAGCTTCCTAAAATGCTGGGATTACAGGCATGAGTCGTACCACTCTTAGCCTTGTTATTCCAATTTATGTAAAATATGAGCATATCATAAAAAAGTATTTATTTTAAAAGTTTTGGGTGAGAGAGCCTGTTTACAACTAGAAAAACTAAAAGCAAAAATGTTTAACAGAAAGTCTTCACACAAACCCACAGTTAACATCATAATGTATGGGGTAAAGTTGAAAAGATGGACCCACAAAGCCGCCGCCGCCGCCGCGATGGGGCTGAGGAGTCCGCCCGCCTTGGGTCCTCATCCCGCCAGCAATTATGCCCGGCCGCGCCCGCCCTCCACGCCCTCCCACCGCAGGACCATGAGGCCGCGCTCGGGCGGGCGCCCAGGGGCCCCGGGCCGCCGCCCCCGCGGCCTCCGGTGTCCCAGCCTGCCGCCGCTGCAGCTGCTGCTCGGACTGCTGCTGGCGGCCGCGGGGCCCGGCGCGGCGCGGCGCGGCGCGGGCCAAGGAGACAGCGTTCGTTGAGGTGGTGCTGTTCGAGTCGAGCCCAAGCTGCGACTACACCACCTACACCACCGGCCTCACTGGCCGCTTCTCGAGGGCCGGGTCCACGCTCAGCGCTGAGGGCGAGATCGTGCAGATGCACCCACTGGGCCTATGTAATAACAACGACGAAGTGGACTTGCATGAATACGGCTGGGTAGGAGTGGTGAAGCTGGAATAGCCAGAATTGGACGTGAAACCGTGCCTAACTGCCCTAGGCAAGAAGACCCATCTGGAACTTGCATCAGTTGGTCTGTCCTACTCAGGGTAGAGACTCCTGTGCAAGAAGATCCTGGGGACTCCTGTGGCGTAGAGGCCAAAGGCCTGGACCCAAAGGCTGAGCAAGCAGTACAGCGGGGAGCCACTGTGGTCATCTTTGATGTATCTGAAAACCCAGAAGCTATTGACCAGCTGAAACAGGACTTGGAAGACCTGCTCAAGAGGCCGGTGGTGTATGTGAAGGGTGCAGATGCCATTAAGCTGATGACCACAGTCAACAAGCAGAAAGTAGCTCGAGCAAGGATCCAGCACCACACTCCTCGACAACCCACTTTTAACATGGGGGTTTTCCTAGCTTTCTTCGTCATGGTCTCCTTGGTCTGCCTCATCCTCCTTGTCAAAATCAAGCTGAAGCAGTGACGCAGTCAGAATTCCATGAACAGGCTGGCCGTGCAGGCTCTGGAGAAGATGGAAACCAGAAAGTTCAACTCCAAGAGCAAGGGACGCCGGAGGGGAGCTGTGGGGCCCTGGACACACTCAGCAGCAGCTCCACGTCTGACTGTGCCATCTGCCTGAAGAAGTACATTGACGGAGAGGAGCGGCGGGTCATCCCCTGTACTCACCGGTTTCATAGGAAGTGCGTGGACCCCCAGCTGCTGCAGCACAACACCTGCCCCCACTGTCGGCACAACATCATAGAACAAAAGGGAAACCCAGACGCCGTGTGTGTGGAGACCAGCAACCTCTCACGTGGTCGGCAGCCGAGGGTGACCCTGCCGGTGCATTACCCCGGCCGCGTGCACAGGACCAACGCCATCCCGGCCTACCCCACGAGGACAAGCATGGACTCCCACGGGAACCCCGTCACCTTGCTGACCGTCGACCAGCAAGGGGAGCAGAGCCTCTTTTCCCCGCAGACCTCCGCCTACGTCCGCAGCTACCCACCCCTCCAACTGGACCACAGCCTGGCTGCTCACCGCTGTGGCCTGGAGAACCCGGCCTACTCTACCCAGCCCATCCCTTCCGCAGGCCCAAGTTGAGCAGCCGCAGCTTCTCCAAGGCAGCTTGCCTCTCCCAGTACGAGACCATGTACCAGCACTACTACTTCCAGGGCCTCAGCTACCCGGAGCAAGAGGGGCAGCCCCTGCCTAGCCTCGCATCCCGAGGCCCGGCACGTGCCTTTCTTCCGAGTGGCAGCGGCAGCCTGCTGCTCCCCACCGTAGTGCACGTGGCCCCGCCCTCCCACCTGGAGAGCGGTAGCACGTCCAGCTTCAGCTGCTATCACGGCCACCGCTCGGTGTGCAGTGGCTACCTGGCCGACTGCCCGGGCAGCGACAGCAGCAGCAGTAGCAGCAGCAGCAGCAGCTCCAGTCAGTGCCACTGTTCCTCCAGTGATTCTGTGGTAGACTGCACTGAGGTCAGCAACCAGGGCGTGTACGGGAGCTGCTCCACCTTCCGCAGCTCCCTCAGCAGCGACTATGATCCCTTCATCTACCGCGCCAGTGAGGCGGGGGGCTCAGGCCGGGGGCCTGCACTGTGCTTCGAGGGTTCCCCGCCACCTGAGGAGCTCCCTGCGGTGCACAGTCACGGTGCTGGGCGGGGCGAGCCTTGGCCAGGCCCTGCCTCTCCCTCGGGGGATCAGGTGTCCACGTGCAGCCTGGAGATGAACTACAGCAGCAACTCCTCCCTGGAACACAGGGGGCCCAATAGCTCTACCTCAGAAGTGGGGCTCGAGGCTTCTCCTGGGGCCGCCCAGGACATCAGGAGGACCTGGAAGGGGGGGCCACGAGGGGCCATCATGTGCCTGCTGCTGCGAGCCCCAGCCCTCCCCACCCGGGCCTAGCGCCACAGCAGCTGGCAGCAGCACCTTGTTCCTGGGGCCCCACCTCTTAGAGGGCTCTGGCCCCGCGGGTGGGGAGCCCCAGCCAGGAAGCTCCCAGGGCCTGTACGGCCTTCATCCCGACCATTTGCCCAGGACAGACGGGGTGAAATATGAGGGCCTGCCCTGCTGCTTCTATGAAGAGAAGCAGGTGCCACGTCGCGGCAGAGGGGGCAGCGGCTGCTACACTGAGGACTACTCGGTGAGTGTGCAGTACACGCTCACCAAAGAGCCCCCGCTCGGCTGCTAAGCGGGGGCCCGAGATCTGAGCCAGCGCATCCCCATCATTCCGGAGGATGTGGACTGTGACCTGGGCCTGCCCTCGGACTGCCAACGAACCCACAGCCTCGGCTCCTGGGGTGGGACACAGGGCCCAGATGCCCCATGGCCCCATAGGGGCCTGGGAGCAACCTGGGAAGAGGAGCGGGCTCTGTGCTGCCAGGCTAGGGCCCTGCTGTGGCCTGGCTACCCTCCAGAGGAGGCAGGTGCTGCCAGGGCCAGCCTCCCCAGTGCCCTCCAGGACACTCAGGAGTCCAGCACCACGGCCACTGAGGCTGCAGGACCGAGATCTCGCTCAGCAGACAGCAGCAGCACAGAAGCCTGAGTTCAGAAGGAACTCTTAGCTGGAAATTGGGAACTGTATGGAAACTCCAAACTGACTTCCTTCAAAAAACAAAAACAAAAAATTTTTTTAGCTTTGACAAACACACAAAAGTGGTAATAAAGAGAGACCTCCTTCTCAACCCAAAATGTGAGCCCCCTGTGGCAAAATCACCCCCTACCCCATTAACAAATCAACAGACAAAATTCTCCGAGTCCTTTGCCTCTTTTGATAACATGCTCTGTACTGTAAAGTATGTGTGCTTGGGGTTCTGAGGTGTGGGATTGAGTTCTGTTTTTTTTTTTTAAGATGTTGTATGTAAATGTAAAAAGTTATTTAAATATATATTTTAAAGAACTCTAAAAAAACGTTGAAAAGATTTTCTCTAAGATCTGGATCAAGATAAGGATGTCCACTTTCATCACTTTTATTCAACTTAGTCCTAGAACTGCTAGTCAAAGTAATTAGGCAAGAGAAAGAAAAGGCACCCAAATTGGAAAGGAGGAAGTCAAATTGTCCCAGTTTGCAAATGACATGGTATTATGTATAGAAAACCCTAATGATTCCACCAATAAAAAAAAAAAACTGTTAGAACCAGTAAATCAAATTAGTAAAGTTGCAGGATGCAAAATCAACATACAAAAATCAGTAGTTTTTTTTTTTATGCCCATCATGAACTATCCAAAAAAGAAATTAAGGAAACAATCCAATTTATAATAACTAATATATATATATATATATATATATGTCCGCATATAAACATAAAATCTAGGAATACATTTAACCAAGAAGGTAACGTATCTCTACAATGGAAACTATAAAACACTGATGAAAGAAATTGAAGAGGATACAAATAAATAGAAAGGTATTCTGTGTTCATGGATTGAAAGAATTAATATTGTTAAAATGTACATACTACCCAAAGTGTTCTACAGATTCAGTGCAATTCCTGTCAAAATTCCAATGACATTCTTCACAAAAATAGAAAAAAATAATTCTAAAATTTGTATGGAACCACAAAAGTTCCCAGATGTCCAAAGCATTCTTGAACAAAAAGAACAAAGCTGACGTCACACTACCTTATTTCAAAATATACTGTACAAAGCTATCATAACCAAAACAGCGTTGTATCTTTATGTCTGTGCATAAAAATAGGCACATAAACCAATGCCACTAAATAGGAAACACAGAAATAAATCTACATGCAGCCAACTAATTTTCTGTAGTGATACCAAGAATATACCTTGGAAAAAGGATAGTGTCTTCAATAAATGATGCTGGGAAAACTGAACATCCATATACAGAAGAATGAAACTAGACCTCCACTTCTCACCATATACAAAAACCAACTCAAAATGGATTAAAGACTTAAATGTAAGATCTGAAACTATAAAACTACTGGGAAAAACCATAAGGGAAATACTCCATGACATCGATCTGGGCAAAGTTTTTTTTGGACAAGAACTGAAAAACACAGACAGCAAGGTGGCTCATGCCTGTAATCCCAGAACTTTGGGAAGCCACGGCAAGTGGATCACCTGAGATCAGGAGTTCAAGATCAGCCTGGCCAACGTGGCAAAACTCCATCTCTACTTAAAATACAAAAAAATTAGCCAGGCATGGTAGTAAGTTCTTGTAATCCCAACTACTTGGGAGGCTGTGGCACAAAAATCGCTTGAATCTGGGAGATGGAAGTTGCAGTGAGCCAAGATTATGCCATTGCACTCCAGCCTGAGTGACTGAGTGAGACTCCCTCTCAAAAAAAAAAAGCATAAGCAACAAAAGCAAAACTGGACAAGTGGGATTACATCAAACCAAAAAGCTTCTGCACAGCAAAGGAAACAATCAACAGAATGAAAAGGCAACCTAAAGAATGGGAGAAAATATTTACAAACTGTGCATCTGACAAGAAGTTAATGCAAAATATATAAGGAATTCAACTCAATAGCAAAAACCAAATAATCCAATTTAAAAATGGGCAAAAGACCTTAATAGACCCTTTCAAAAGAAGACACACAAATGGCCACTAGGTATAGGAAAAATGTAGGTCGAGCACTGTGGCTCACACCTGTTATCCCAGCACTTTCGGAGGCTGAGGTGGGTGGATCATGAGATCAAGTGATCGAGACTATCCTGGCCAACATGGTGAAACCCCACTCTACTAAAAATACAAAAATTAACCAGATATGGTGGTGCATGCCTGTAGTCCCAGCTACTTGGGAGGCTGCGGCAGGAGAATTGCTTGAACCAGGGAGGCAGAAGTTGCAGTGAGCCAAGATCGTGCCACTGCACTCCAGCTTGGCAACAGAGTAAGACTCCATCTCAAAAATAAGCAGAAAAGAAAGAAAGAAAGAAACAAACAAACAAATGCTCAACATCACTAATCATCAGGGAAATGCAAATCAAAACCACGATGAGATGTCACTTTATACTTGTCAAAATGACTATTACCAAAAAGACAATAAACAACAAATATTAGTGTGAATGTGGAGAAAATGGAACCCTTCTACATTGTTGGTAGGAATGTATATAGCTATTATGGAAAACAGCATAGCAGTCCTCAAAAAGTTAAAAATAGAACTACCAAATGACTCATTAATTCCACTAGTGGCTATTTATCCAAAGGAAATAAAATCAGTATGTTGAAGAGACACATTTGCACTCCCATGTTTATTGCAGCAGTATTCTCATTAAACAAGATATGGAATCAACCTGATATACCACATAAACAGAATTAAAAACAAAAATCACATGATCATCTCAGTAGATGTAGAAAAAGCATTCAACAAAATCTTATATATATATATAAATATATATAAAATAAATAAATATAATATATAAATACATATAAATTATATATATAAATAGATATAAATTTTATATATAAAATTCTCAGGAAAATCGGCATACAAGGGACATACTTCAATGTAGTAACATCTATGACAAACCTACAGCCAACATAATAATGAATGGGGAAAAATTGAAAGCATTCCCTCTGAGAACTAGAACAAGGATGCCCACTCTTACCACTCCTCCTCAGCATAGTAATGGAAGTCCTAGCTGGAGCAATCAGACAAGATCATTGACCTTGAAAACCCTAAAGACTCCTCCAGAAAGCTCCTAGAATTGATAAAAGAATTCAGCTAAGTTTCCAGATACAAGATTAATGTACACAAATCAGTAGCTCTTCTATACACCAATGGCGACCAAGTGGATAATCAAATAAGAAACTCAACCCCTTTTACAATAGCTGCAAAAAAAAAAAAAAAGAAAAGAAAAGAAAGAAAAGAAAAAGCAATCGATGTAACCGAGGAGGCAAAAGACCTATACAAGGAAAACTACAAAATACTGCTGAAAGAAATCATAGATGACACAAACAAATGGAAACACATCCCATGCTCATGGATAGGTAGAATCAGTATTGTGAAAATGACCATATTGCCAAAAGCAATCTACAAATTCAATGCAATCCCCATCAAAATACCACCATCATTCTTCACAGAACTATAAACAATTCCAAAATTCATATGGAACGAAAAAAGAGCCCACATAGCCATAGCAAGACTAAGCAAAAAGAATAATTCTGGAGGCATCACATTACCTGATTTCAAACTACACTATAGGGCCATAGTCACCAAAACAGCAGTTACCAGTATAAAAATAGGGACATAGACTAAAGGAACAGAATAGAGAACCCAGAAATAAATGCAAACATTTACTGCCAACTGATCTTCGACAAAGCAAACAAAAACAAGTGGAGAAAGGACACCCTTTTCAACAAATGGTGCTGGGATAACTGTCTAGCCACATGTAGGAGAATGAAACTGGATCCTCATCTGTCACTTTATACAAAAATCAACTCAAGATGGATCAAAGACTTAAATCTAAGACCTGAAACTAAAAATTCTAGAAGATAACGTTTGAAAAACCCTTCTAGACATTAGCTCAGGCAAGGATTCCATAACCAAGAATCCACAAGCAAATGCAACAAAAACAAAGATAAGTAGCCGGGACTTAATTAAACTAAAGAGCTTTTGCACGGCAAAACAAACAAAACAAGAACAACAACAACAACGAAAACAGTCAAAAGAGTAAATAGACAACCCACAGAGTGGGAGGAAATCTTTACAATCTATACATCTTACAAAGGGCTAATATCCAGCATCTACAACAAACTCAAATCAGTAAGAGAAAAAGAAACAATCCCATCAAAAAGTGGGCTAAGGACATGAATAGGCAGTGCTCTAAAGAAGATGCACAAATGGCCAAAAAGCATATGAAAAATGCTCAACATCATTAATGATCAGGGAAATGCAAATCAAAACCACAATGTGATACCACCTTACTCCTGGAAGAATGGCCATAATCAAAAAATCAAAAAACAGTAGATGTTGGCATGGATGCAGTGAACAGGGAACACTTCTACACTGCTGGTGGGAATGTAAATTGGTACAGCCACCATGGAAAACAGTGTGGAGATTCCTTAAAGAAATACAAGTAGAACTATTATTTGATCCAGCAATCCCATTACTGGGTATCTCTACCCAGTGGAAAATAAGTCGTTACATGAAAAAGATGTTTGCATATACGCATGTTTATAGCAGCACAATTTGCAATTGCAAACTAGTGGAACCAACCCAAATGCCCATCAATCAACAAGTGGATAAATAAACTGTGGTATATTTATATATTTATACAATGGAATACTACTCAGCCATAAAAAGGAATAAATTAATGGCATTTGCAGCGACCTAGATAAGATTGGAGACTATTATTCTAAGTGGAGTAACTCAGGAATGGAAAACCAAACATCATATGTTCACACTGATATGTGGGAGCTAAGCTATGAGGACACGAAGGAATAAGAATGATACAATGGACTCTGGGAAGGGTGGGAGGGAGACGAGAGATAAAAGATACAAATAGGGTGTAGGATATATTGATTGGGTGATGGGTGCACCAAAATCTCACAAATCACCACTAAAGAACTTACTCATGTAACCAAATACCACCTGTACCCCAATAACTTATGGAAAATTTAAAATAAAAACAACTAAAATCAGTATGTTGAAGAGATATATCTGTACTCCCATGTTTATTGCAGGACTATTCACATTTACCAAGAATCAGCCTAAGTGTCCAACAACAGGTGAATGGATCAAGAAAATGCAGTGTATATACTCAATGAAATGCTATTCCTCAATAAAAAAGAATGAGATCCTGTTATTTGTGGCAACATGAATGAACCTGGAGGTCTTTGTGTTAACTGAAATAAGCCAGGTACAGAAAGACAAATATCACATCATTTCACTGATTTGCAGAATTTCAGAAAGCTGATGTCATAGAAATACAGAGTAGCATAGTGGTTACCAGAGGATGAGGAGGGGTGAGCGGGTGGGGGGCATGAGGAGAGACTGATCAATAGATACAAAATTGCAGACAGGAAGAACAAGTTCTGGTGTTCTGTTGCACAGTAGGATGACCATAGTTAACAATATAACAATATTGCATTGTGTTTTTCAAAGTAACTAGACAAAATAATTTTGAATGTTCTCACCACAAAGAAATGATAAATGTTTGGGCTGATGGATATGCTAATTACTCTGATTTGATCATCACACAATGTATACGTATACATGTATTGAAATGTCACTCTGTACCCCATAAATATGTATAATTATATGTAAATTAGAAATGAAATAAAACATTAAAAAAGTCTTCACAGGAAATGGGACTGGCAGTGGAAATCATAAGCTTCTCTATACAGTTTCATCTATACCATTTAATTAATTATAAATGCACTTATGACTGTAATGTAATTGTATTATTTACTATATGCTGTCATTTGTGCCATAGCAGTTGCCTTTATTAATATTTCTCAAAGGGTGGTCCATGTAACACTTGCTAAAAATGCAGATTCCATGATTCCAAACACAACCCTACTGAATCTGATTACCTTCACTGGGGCCCAGGGATCTGCATGCGAACCACTGCAAGTGAACAATAATTCTTTTCAAGATCCTTTAATGTATGCCACCTCTTGAACATACAATAGCTAAGAAAATCTGTTAAGTTTTAAAATTCATGACAATGGCTGGTTTCTTAATTATGTAGGGAGAAACATTTTGAGACTGTCTTTGCACCTTGTTTTGCTGGGGATCATTTTTTCTCATTCCCATGACTGCAGGAATATTGATCTCAGTGTTACTTTGACCATTAATGAATTACGATGGCAATAAGCAAAGATGCACACCTCTAGCCTCCTGGGAGCTTAATCTTCTGCTACAACATTTGCATTTGTAAGTCAGCACCTGTGTAATCTATATTCTATTTGTTATTCTCCTTTAATTACATATTGGTAGTGGTCCATTTGCAGGCTGAGAGCAACCAACTGGAGCTTCAAAAAGATTATTAAAATATTGACTTTAAATTAGAAAGCCAAAAAGGAAACAAGACAGGGTTTGTCTCTACCCATTCTGGTATGATGGTTCAGGAACAATTATTTCCTTTCGTCTCAAGAAAAGTTTCAAGAATTGTGCAAGGAACTTCTATATGCACTTTACATTCATTCTTTACTTAAATCTTGCCCAACTTGCTGTCTTGCTTTGTATCTATGTAAGCCATAGTTCAAATGTAAATTCAGATTTTCTCAATTGTTCCAGTGATGTCCCAATAATTGTTTTTTTCCACAAAAATATATTTAATAAACTTGTTATATAAAAGCAAACACTTAACACTGTTAACATTTCATCAACAGTTCAAACTCACTGATAACTGGGAGTAGCTTGTATTCTGGAAGACTTCCTAAGCTAAAAGTTTATTTACATATTTACGACACATGTATATGTAACTGAAGAACTACTTCAAATAATGTTGAAATTCACAGAATTCTAGAGATTTATAGTTATAGTTTAGAAGTATCACCAATTTGTATGCAATCAAATGTACAGCACTAATTATGAAAAGTGTTTTAACAACTATTAATCCAAAAGGGGAGAAAAATTACGAAGGAAATACACGGTTTTAAAGTCCTGTGACAAATACTTAGAAGATTAAAAAGTAATAATATAAAATTGATTTAATGACCAACATTTTTTTTGAATCCCTGATTGTCATTTTTGGTAGCTCAACCCAGTCTGTCAGAAGGCAGTAGGCTATGCTGTCAGGAACTCTCCACTGTCTCATCAGAGCCATGCTAAATGCAGTAACAGCCCTGGCTGAAAATACGGAAGTTGATTTTAGCAACTTTGAGCTTCTACACACCTTCCTCAAACAGGCTAAGTACTTATGCTTATATGTACTCCTGAAAGATTAAAATGCCCATCACCCATTCATAATAAAAAGTATTTTCTCAACATGCTTTCAAAAGGTTCCTATGTTTCTATTTCTTTATTTCTTATTTTTTGAGACAAGGTCTAGCTCTCTCACCCAGGCTGCAGTGCAAGTGGTACAATCTTGACCCTGCAGCCTCTGCCTCTCCGGCTCAAGCCATCCTCTGACCTCAGCCTCCCAAGTAACTGAGACTACAGAAACATACCATCATACCTGGCTAATTTTTTTTTGTATTTTTTGTAGAGATGGGGTTTCACCATGTTGCCCAGGCTGGTCTCAAACTGGTGAGCTCAAGAGATCCATCGACCTCGGCTTCCCAAAGTGCTCGGATTACAGGTATCAGCCACCACGTCCCCCAGCTGGGTCCCTTACTTTGGAGGAGGGAAGACAAACAGACATCATATATAAATATTTATTACAATAAGGTTTTAAATCCTATTTTATATTTAAACTACCTCATGGTAATATTTAAACCATCCCTTTCCAGAAAATATTTCATACTAGAGTGGTAAACATTTTTTTTAAAATACTGCAGATTCTTTTTTTTTTTTTAAAGAAAGGTACTACTGCCATAAGAAGTTAACAAGTGATAATTTCCTATTTAACATCTGTTCATAATGACATTTCCTGCTGCATTTTTTCCATCAAGAATACCAAAGCAGTTTCCTAATATGTAACACTTGAAAGTGTTTGCCATATTGGCTCTTCAAATGATAGACTAATTTTTCTTGTTCAATAAAAGAAACTTTCTAATAACAAAATACATGTAAAGTTAGAATTTTATAATTTCCACAAAGGAAGCTGTGTTTGTTAACCAAAGTACTTGTTTGCTATTTTCTATCTGTGAAAATATTTTAAAGCTCTTATAAAACTTAAATTTTATTTTTTAAAAAATCAGCTCAAAAATTTTTTTCATGTTGTTGGGCATACCACTGCTGTCTCTGCTTTCGGTTTTCCAACTCTGTAAGAAGAGCTTGTCTGTATGCTTCATACATCTTAACAATCTGCTCCAATTCTTTCATGAAGAGCGACTTTAGCATTCCCTGGTATGTATCCAGGTCAGCCAGCTGGAAGAGTTCCCACTGCAGGATGTGGTCATATTTCACAGTGGCTCGAGCATACACCTGAAGCCAGTCAGGAATTTCTGCAGTATGATATGGATTTGCAGGTACCAGAAGGGACTAATTTCTTTCAGTTTGCTGTGGCTGGTAAGTGACAGGAGGTGGCTGATCATACTGAGGTACACTAGGAGCAAAGGGATGCCTATACTGAGCCTTCTTATTTGTGTGATCTACATAATAGTTTCCAAATTCTGATGACTCAACTCGCTCCCATCCTGGAAGAAGGCCTTCTCGCTCAAGAGGTTGGCTCCAGTGAGTTGTATTTGTGTGATGATCTATATAGTATTTTCTCCCTTTCATTGTCCAGTCCACAGACCAGCCAGGAGGAAGGGGTAAATCTTCAGAACCTGGTTAGTCAAATTTCCTAAAGATGTAGTAGCAACTCTCCCAATACCTGAAGCATGCCTCCCCTGATTCTGAGGCATTCTTTGGAAGAAATCATGGTTGTATTCATAATATCTGTATTCTTCATGTGTACGATCTCCAAGTGGCCGCTTTCTCTGACCATCAAGAAAATTGTCTGAATAATAATATCGGGAACCAGAGTCTCCATTTTCAACAGCAAAATTAACTTCCGTTACAAATGACTGAGAAGAGCCATACTCTCTAGGGACATCTGCTAGACTTCTGGCAAGATAAGAAGGTGCAGCTAATCTGTTGCTTTCTCTTCTCATTATTTCATGAGGTATTCTTTGAATTGGAGTTCTAAGGAAACTCTGGTTTCTTCAAACTACCCCATCTCCAGAAGCTGAAAAGGCATTAGGGCTTGAATCTGGAAGACAGATATCAGTTCGTTTGGGAATTGTTGGACCATGCCGGATGAATAAAGGCATAAGATCTTCTCAACTCTGCATCCGGCAGCAAGACTAAGGAATTCTGCCCCAGAATTCGCACAACTTGCAGCACGGTCGAGAGATACCCGCAATGTTTGCAAACATAAGACACATCACCACGCATTCCGAAGCAGAGGCGACGTCTCCTTCTTCACGTACTTCCCCTGCACCTCGGCCGGCTTGGACACTTCGTTTTTGGTTTTCTTTCGGGACAGCATCCTTCACCACGAGGCCCGAGGCCACGCTGAGCTGCCTCCCTAGAGTTCGGCGCCGCCGCCACCTCCGCCTGCGCCGCCGACTCCTTCCCTCCCGAGCCGCCGCCTCCGCCTCCGCCTCCCCCTCCGCCGCCCTCTGTCCTGAGTCCGGGGTTGCCCGCAGGGACTGCCGCATGTTCAGGGCGCTAAGCGCGCTGGCCGCAGCTCAGTCACTGGTCAGTTCCTTCCCGGAAGTCGGCCCGTTCTGCGACGCTGCCCGGGGACGCCGTGAGGAGAGCCCAGCGACACCGGGCCAGGGCCACGGTCCACCACGGGCCGCCGACCCCAATAATTAATTGTAAACTAATTTTTCCCCAGGTTAGAATCCAGTCTAGGATCATGCCTTGTACTGAGTTGCCACGTCTCCTTTGTTTCCTTTAATATGGAGAAATTTTTCGGCAGTTAGTTTTCTTAACTTGATTTTCTTTTTTTTTTTTTGGAGATGGAGTCTTGCTCTGTCGCCCAGGCTGGAGTGCAGTGGTGCTATCTCGGCTCCCTGCAACCTCCGACTCCCGGGTTCAAGCCATTTTCCTGCCTCAGCTTCCTGAGTAGCTGGTACTGCAGGCATCTGTCACTATGCCCAGCTAATTTTTGATATTTTTAGTAGAGATGGGATTTCACCATGTTGGCCAGGCTGGTCTCAAACTCTTGGCCTCAGGGTATCCACCTGCCTTGTCTTCCCAAAGTGCTGGGATTACAGATGTGAGCCACAGCGCCCGGCCTTCATTTGACATTTTAAAATGTCACTGGTCTAATATTTTCTGTACACCAATACTCTTTTTTTTCTTTTTTTTTTTTTGGTAGAGGGCCCTTCCTTCTGGGTTTGACTGAGATTTCATCATGTTTAAACTTAAGTTATGTAGGTCATGTTACAAACTTAGGTTATGTAGGTCTGCTGTAATGATATTGTGTCCTTGTTAGTGCAGTATATTTCAGGGGGCACATGATGTCCATGTGTCTCAACATTGGTGATGTTATTTTTAAATCATCTGGTTAAGGTGTTTTGACACTTGAACCTGGGAGGCGGAGGTTGCAGTGCACGGAGATCGTGCCATTGCACTCCAGCTTGGGTGACAAGAGTGAAAGTACATCTCAAAAAGAAAAAAAAAAAAGAAATTTGACTTTTAAGAGTCTATGATTAGGCTATAATGTGAAGCAGACTAAAATTTCTTCAAAAATATGTTTATTTTTATTAACCATTACAATTGGAAAAAATCTAAATATTCAACAGAAGATGATTGTTTACAAAATTATGGTACAGTCACTTAATGGTACATTATGCAGCCATTAAAAATTATAGTTACTGGTGAATGTGGTGGCTCACTCCTGTAATCCCAGTGCTTTGGGAGGCTGAGGTGGGAGGATAGCTTGAGGCCAGGAGTTTGAAACCAGGCTAGGCAACAAAGCAAGCAATCACATCTCTATTAAAAGTTTTTTGGGGTTTTTTTTTTTTTGAGACAGAGTTTCGCACTAGTTACCCAGGCTGGAGTGCAATGGCACAATCTTGGCTCACTGCAACCTCCGCCTACTGGGTTCAAGCAATTCTCCTGCCTCAGCCTCCCAAGTAGCTGGGACTACAGGTGCATGCCACCATGCCCAGCTAATTTTTTTTTTTTTTTTGTATTTTTAGTAAAGACAGGGTTTCACCATGTTGACCAGGATGGTCTCAATCTCTTGACCTCGTGATCCACCTGCCTTGGCCTCCCAAAGTGCTGGGACTATAGGCGTGAGCCACCACGCCCTGCCAAAAAAGTTTTTTTTTTTTTTTTTTTTTAATGAGCTGGGTACCATGGTATGCACCTATAGTTCCAACTACTTGGAAGATTAAAACAGGAGGATCACTTGAGCCCAGAAGTTTGTAGTGAACTATGAGCTGGGTACCATGGTATGCACCTATAGTTCCAACTACTTGGAAGATTGAAGCAGGAGGATCACTTGAGCCCAGAAGTTTGAGGTTGTAGTGAACTATGATCATGCCATAGCACTCCAGCCTAGCCTGGGCAATAAAGTGAGACCCTGACCTGTCTCTTAAAAAATATTACAATCATATTAATTTTAAAGCTACAAAGCAAGATGTTAAACTGCCTACAGTAAATGCAGAATTACATACAGAATGGCCTTGCCATGTAAAAATATTGACAGATAGGGAGCTAGACAGAGATAAATGTATCAGGAAGGTAGTCATGCTCACAATTAGTAAAAGCCATAAAAATATTTCTTTTCTTCTACCTTCTGTATCTTTCTGATTTTTCTTATAAATGGGATGTACTAAATATATTCCTTATATATTTTTAAGAGTGATTTAAAAATATCTGTTTCATTTTCTATGTCACTCCTGACATAACAATTTATCAATTAAGTTAGCTTATTTTAGATGTTAAAAGACTAAGAGCCATATAGTTAAATGCAATGACACACACAGTTTTAAAAGTCACATTATAAACAACTGGAGTTAGCTGAGTGTGGGCTAGGTGTTAGATGATATTAGGGGATTATTTTTGAAGATATGTTAATTTGAATAGTTACAATGTCTATAATTTATTTTTGAAAATCAGTGAAAATATGTGTAAAGGAAATATTTAAAAATTAAGGAAAGACATATAAAATATTCAAAATGATCAAGAGTAATTGGATAGGAAAAAGGATGGGCCAGGTGAGATGTGGCTCACGCCTGTAATCCCAGCATTTTGGGATGCTGAGGTGGGTGGATCATCGCAGGTCAGGAGTTCAAGAACAGCCTGGCCAACATGGTGAAACTGGTCTCTACTAAAAATACAAATATTAGCCAGGTGTGGTGGTAAGGGCTTGAACTCCCAGCTACTCAGCAGGCTGAGACAGGAGAATCACTTGAACCTAGGAGGGGAGGTTCCAGTGAGCTGAGATTGAGCCACAGTACTCCAGCCTGGGCGACAGAGTGAGACCCTGTCTTAAAAAAAAAAAGAAAGAAAAGACACAAGCATTAACCAGAAGAAAGATGGAAAGATGGTGTAACTATATTAATATTAAATTACTGGTTTAAAGCAGAAAGCACCACTAAATAGGAAAAGTTCTTTATGAGAAAAAGGTTAAGTTCACCAGAAGATATAAGAATTCTAAATCTGTATTCAACCTGAAAACCTAGCCTCAAAATATATATAGCAAAACCTGAAGAAAGAAGTGAAGTCATACTTTCAGTGAGAGATTTTAACACCCCTCTCTCAGTAAATGATAGAATAAACAAACACTCACAACAAGCAAAAAAATAAGCAAATTGATAGCAATAGAGAAGGCTTGAACAGGGTTGATAAATGTGACGCAGTTGACAAGAGGAACATTCCCACCAACAGCCACAGAAAACATTTCCTTTTCAAGTGTATTTGAAACGTTTATAAAGTTGATGTATGCTGGACAACAAAGCAAGTCTCAACAACTTTCACATTACTGAAATCATAGAGGATCTGTTCCCTGGGCTTCACAGAACTATGCTAAAACACCACTATTAATAGAAATATAGGTCTGGGCATGGTGGCTTCCAGTGCATTGGGAGGTAAAGGTGGGAGTGTCGAATGAGGCCAGGAATTCAAGACCAGCCTAGGCAACAAAGTAAAAACTAAATTAGCTCGGTGTGGTGGTACATACCTGTAGTCTCAGCTACTCGAGGGGGAGTGCGGTTTAAGGCAAGATGGTCACTTGAGCCCAGGAAGTTAAGGCTGCGGTGAGCTATGATTGCACCACTGCACTCCAGCCTGAGCAGCAGAGAGAGACCCTGTTTCCAAAAAAAAAAAAAAAAGAGAGAGAGAGAGAAAAAAAGAGAAATACAGATACCTTTAGGAAAAAGATAACTAGAAAATTCACAGATTAAGCTACCCAGTTTTAAATATCTTCTGGTACAAAGACTAAATCATAAAAGAAATTAGAGAATATCTAGAGCCGAATGATGAATAAATCATCCCCTCTAAGATATTTTATGCCTCACTACCCAATTTACTAAACCAAAGATAGTCAGGTTTTTTTTTTTTTATAAAATGGCAATATGTTTCTTATTCCAAAAGGAGCTATATATGACCAGGCACAAAATACCAAGGTCAACCTTTTTTTTTTTCTTTTTGAGACAGTGTTTTGCTCTTGTTGCCCAGGCTGGAGTGCAGTGGTGTGGTCTTGGCTCACTGTGACCTCTGCCTCCAGGGTTTAAGTGATTACCCTGCCTCAGCCTCCTGAGTAGCTGGGATTACAGGTGCCCGCCACCACGCCCAGCTGATTTTTGTATTTTTAGTAGAGATGGGGTTTCACCATGTTAGTCAGACTGGTCTCAGAATCCTGACCTTAGGTGATCCACCAGCCTCGGCCTTCCAAAGTGTTGGGATTACAGATGTGAGCTACCGCGCCCAGCGATGAAATTTCTTAATGCAAAGGCTTAATCTCTTTTAAAGCTTTCCAGAAAAATGTTCCAAACTTTCAAAATTCCAGTGAGCTAAAGCTTACTAACATTGAGATGAACGTCCTCGTCATAGCAGACACAGCCTGTGAGGTTTCGTGAATACTTGTTTAGGAAGCTGAAGATGCCAGATATTTTCCCAGGATCTCTTGAAATGGGAGCCCTACCCTGTGACCTGGGATAGACCAAACCAATGAGCTCCCTCCAAACTGCAGCAGAAGCTGTTTATACAAAGAAGTACAGTAGAGAATCCCTTTGGGGGATGCCTATAGTGGCAGTAGCTGAGGCGTGCTGCATCTGATGTATAGCACTGAGGTGGTGGCCATGAGGTCTGGTGGCAGTGGTGTCCTCACCAGTAAAGGCTTGGGCATGATTTTGGCTCTGGCTATGGCCGATTCTAGTTTTTCTTCTTCTTTCCCTTTTACTGAGCCTGGTCATCTAGCCTTTCCTGATCTTCTTTTAGGTCCCAATATCCTTCAATAAATTACGTTTCTATTAAAACCAGTCAGCTTGATTCTATTGCTTACAAAAAAAGAATCTGATGAAACTTCTATACAGGGGTTCTTCTTCTGTGTAGCA